AAGAGGCAAAAAACCCTTTACTTTTTTCAAACTTGTTTCCCAGGCACCTAATCTAATCTTTCTAAAGCAATTCTCTGGCAGCAAGGGTTTGCATGTTTTAAAAAACAGTGTAGAAAAGAATGTATTGTGACAGTTTAATTTGCCACTGAAATATAGTCACCTCTGGGGTAATTCAGAGAAAGTATGGAAGAGCAGATAATAAACCTGTTCAGGATAGGAGGTGAGTGAGGGAGGCTATTCAGATGAAATCGCAGAGGGAAGATGCCTATGCAGAAATACAATTCCTGGAATTAAGGTTCATCTCCTTACTCCTTTGAGCCTCTAAGGGCACCTGTAGCCTTGCTACTGCCTCACATCTGCTGAACAGGACAGTGTTGCTGAGTCTTTGCACATGTCATGTCATTTCGTTCTGGCAGCAAGGGAGGTGCTTGTGATAATTCTCCCAGGCAGTTGCTCGGGAGGACCTTCTAGCACTGGCTGGCTTGAGAAATGAAAGGGATAGGGAAAGAAAGGGCTGATCTTTCGATGCGCCTGCAGATAGAAAATTAAGAATAGCTCCTGCCTGCAGTGATGAAAGGAAGGGCAGATACAGCTCAGTGCCACTTAGACTTGTCCTGCCAACTTGGTATTAAGGACAGTGTGATTCAGGGACCAGTTTCTGAGAAGATACATGCTGCAGATCCCAGCCTGCTGAGCCTGCAGTACAGCAAACTCCATGTTGGCAACGGGCAGAAGTGGAAACCTACTTTTGGAAAGCCTCGTAGTTCTGCAATATCTGATGCAGGCCAGTGTTGTATAAATATGCATTACTGCTGCTGTCCGGAAACCCTGCAGGTCCCCAAACACTTGTGTGTTGTAGCTTCAAGTGAAAGTCAGTTGGTTCGTCTGATCATATTCTGTAGGAATGAGGTGTTACAGCTTTCAGCAATAAATCGTGGCAGTGCGGCTCTGCTGCTGCATGGTTTAAAAACCATGGAAATCTCTGTACCCTCTCATCCCTGCTTAGGGACTTCGGAAGACCCAGGACAGCCGGCCTGGACTGTGGTTGTTAAAATTGTGGTTACCAACATGTGGGCGCAAATTAAGCTGTGTGAATCTGTCCTGAAATCTCTACCATTTTAAAGAGAATACAAGGCAACTGGAAGACATTCTGGAAGACAAGAGAAAGCCTGCCTGAGTTTTAGGTGAATAGATAAAATGTTAAGAGAAAGAAGGGTGCAGTTGTTTCTGTAGCCCTGTTTAGGGTCCTGGGAACAGTGTACCCTGTGGAGAGATGCAAAATTGAGTTCATAACAGAGGGGCTGAGGGTTTTCAGACCATGCTTGTAAGTGCATGGTCTTTGGCAGGACTTAATAATTGCATTGCAACAGGGTTACAAGGTCTTGTTCAAAGTCTGCTGAAGTCAGTTGAAAAACTGTTGACTGCAGGGAGCATGGCTGGCAGTCAGTACAGCATCTCTCTTAAGGTCAGTTCAGGTATTTATCTCCTTTATTTCAAAGTCCACATCTAGAACAATTTTATTTGATTCGCAGCTTAAAAGTAACCTCAGTATGAATCCCTGTGGAAAAAAAACAAAAAACCCAAGAGGAAAATAATCCAACAGCTCCTGCTCCGCCATCAGTAAATGTTGTGCCACTGGGCTGTGGCTGGCAGCTGATGCCTGGAGCCAAACAACCACCACTCACTCTTTCTCAGCTTGCCTTGCTCTGCAGGGATGATGGGAGCAAGCACTTGTTGCGATTAGGATGCAAAGAGGTACTGCTCAAAGGCGGAGATGGGAGCCTGCAGACTCAGCAATAATTGTACACCGGGTTGATGAGGAAGAAAAAGCTCTGCCAGCAATAAGTCATCCTTTCAGAGAGCTAATTTGAACTTGTTTTTGTCTGTTGAACCCTTCAGTCCAGTCCCACTGTAGATAAATGTCACGCAGTGTCTTCTGTTGGATTTGAGGGCCTTTTATAACAACTTATTCCTCATTTATCCTGCTGTCAGAGGGAAGTTATTCTGCCTGCAATCCCTGTTTGAGCTTAATTTTTTTATTTTCTGTAGCACTAGGGCTGATAGCTTCACAAATCTTTTACAATAACTCCTCAAACTCTCCCCTGGCCAGTCCAGCAGCATGACAGCTCCATTTAATATGTACTGTCTGCTCTGGCTTACTGCCCCTAGACTCATTATTTTGCATTTCTCTGCATCAAACTCCAATGTTGCTAGCCCCAAAGAGTCATATATCAATAGTCATGGAAAAGAGAGAGTCTTTGAAATTGGTCTGAAAATCCCAAGCCTCTCCTTGGAGCACCTGGCTTGCACATTCCTTGTATCTTTTCCTGTCCGCTCTGTCCTTTGCCCAGCCCTGTTGTGTGTGTGTGCGCACCCCTCTCTCCCTGCCTGCTCTGCTCTATTCGTTGACAGCTATAAAGTGAAACTTCCCGAATCTTGACCCTGCAATTCTCATGGCACGAAGCATTTCGCACCTGGGACGTTTCACTTTCTTTTCCTGCTGACATAGTGGCAGGTTAAGGCCTGCAACTCTGCCTTCTCTTCACCAGCCAAGCAGCCCCCCAAATGACTTGGATCCATTTGGACTATTGTTGCAGGGAAAATAATGGGGAGTGTTCTCTGTGGTGAATGTTTTGGGGTATAGACCTCTCTTTTATCATTTGAAGTGTAGTCTTGCCTTCAGGCCTTAGGGAGGAGATAGTCCCTCTCTGAAAAGCTTACAAGCTGAGTACAAGATACAGAATATCAGCGGGCAGTTCACCTGTCCAGATGTTGACATCTAACATTTCAACTGGTTACCCTCAGCCCCCTTACCTAGGCAGCAGAGAAGAATAGGCACTTTCATCTCATCCTAATGCAAATGTACAAAACAGGTCAGATAGATTGTGTCTGTCTCTTCTCATTGATTACAAAGAGAGTCCAGATGATGGGCTCTCATGTAGATGTCTGTTGTAGGCAGGATTCATCTTGCCTATGTCTCGACTAGGTACATCAAGCAGGTTAGGGCAGCACAAAAAGAGAGCAAGACAGTGTTGAATGTAGTCTCTTTTTGTCTTGGCTAAATACTGTCTATCTAGTAAGCCTGTGCATCTTCCCTTGTTCAAGAACCTGCCCTTCATTTTGATTCCTTGCTGGCTGAGGGCTAGAGGGACATCATTCAGACAGCAACTGCAGTATGTGTTTAAACACCTCCCAAAGATTGTCTCCCTGCTCCCTGTGGGATAGAGCTGCTCGTGGGATAGAGCTCAAGGAACAATTTTCCAATGTAAAGTTTCAACTGGCAAAAGTGGGAATTGGGCAGCGCTTAGTATGTTTTGTCCCTCTTTCATCCTTTTGTACTCTGAGACTGAGCAGCTGATAGTGTAAGTTCGGGTAACTGCAGGATTACTCAGATACTTCCCACGAGCTCCCGGTGCACATGCCTGGGCAGCAATCCTGTCATGTTGCAGTGGGAGAAGACACAAGGCCTCTAAGTTCAGGGCTGAGACAAAGGCATAGGGACTTCGGATTTGGGGCTAGCTCCTGATAGCAGCAGGAGCTCTGCGGTGCCTCCAGGTTCATGGCTACGAGGACTGCACTCTGGGTGCTGAACTGCTGTCTTCAAGGCTTTTTTCTAACACTGGAGCACTATTAAATGCTCTCAGGGCAATAAGGCTTTGGGGTGATGCTGCTAATTACTGTAGTTTTCTATCCTACTGTTGCTAAACGTTCACCATTGCTCTGGAAGTCCCTGGCGTGGATCACAGGGAGCAGGCTGGAGATGGCTGAGAGCCGTTCTTGCAAGAACTGAAAAACAAAGTTGAGCCAACTGGTAGGAATAAAGCCTTGTAGCCTGAGGAGGATTTTCTCGACTGGTTGAGTTTCCCCTTTGTTTGGGAGCTCTTGTTCCATCGTGCCTTTTTCTGAGGAAGAATTAGCCCAGTGGCAGAAATGTGGTGCACTAGGCCTTTCAAGAGCAAATAATCTGTCCATAGCAAGAGCCTGCAGAGCTTGAAGTCAGCCTTTGAGTCTCTGTGCAGCTGATTGCAAGCCTGCTCTACCCAACATGTGCCTCAGAAGGGGAGGGTACTCTGCCGGTCTTTTTACCCTCAGCCTCATGCTTGTGTAGTTACTCTCAAATCCTAGGACTCCTAAGAAAACCAGACTCAGTTTTGTACCCCACCCTTCTTGTTGTTACTGAGACTCATGCTATAAATCCTGTGAACTCAGGCCCCCATAAATGAATGTTGAGCCCTGGAAATCTACTGTGTGCAATACAGCCACTTCAAACTCTCCAACTGTGGTTTTCAGCCAGTGCTCTAGAGCTCTCCCAGGGGTCCCTGGTGATTTCTGAAGGGCCTGCAAAAGGCATACAGCAAAAACAACAACTATTGTCAGGAGGCTTAAAGATACTGTTCAGGAGTCGGCACAGGAACATTTTTAGGAGTCCTGAAACTAAAACAGATAAAAAAAAAATCACTGTTCTATAGCAAACATAGTCTCTGCAGTGAAAAACCAAAAGTCACAACTATAACATGCCCAGTAAGAGAACAGGAGCTGTCAAAGGTATTGGCAGTGTCTTTGCAATACCAGAGAATTTGTTAGGGAAAAAATTTCTAGCTGACTCCTGGTGGGAAGCATATGTACCATGCTCCAGAGAAAGACAAAACATACCCCAGCTTCCTCTATAGGATTCTTTCCTCACGCCCACTCTCTTTCCCAGCTATGTGTATCCAGTACAAAGTCTTCTACTTTACAACTCTTGCTTCTAGGGTACAGAGACAGTTACATGGCAGTTAGGGGGAGTACACGAAAACCTTTGGGAGGCTTTAATTCGGGAAGGAAGGTGTATCAGAGCCTTGTAGTTAAGACCCGCAGCCTGTGCTTTGCTCTCCTATTTCCATTGTTGTCCTTCCCCTCTGAACTTTGGTACAATAAATAGTGTCTGTGTTTGAAGAGTGTCCCAGCAGAGAGGCATCTGGCACAGCATCAGGCACTCGCAGCTCCATGTGCAGCTTCTCAGAGTTTCTGCGCGCTTCTGCCTTTTGCCTGCTCTTTGTGGTTCCTGCTGGTCAGCGGTGGATCACTGGTGGCTAAGCGTGTGCCTGTCCCTTTTGCCTGCTCATCTAAGGTAATTGTTACCATTATTTCTTCCAACTGGCGAAAACAAATCAGCAGGGGCCCAAAGAGCAGCAGGGGCCCAAAGAGACGTTAGCCCAGGGTTTTGGTTTGCAAAACCAGTGCTTTCGCCCTGGAGCGAACAGCCTTCTGCATAGGATGGTAGCCACCTGTAGAGCTTTGTTGTGCTCTGTTGTTCTTTGATTCGGCACTGATAGGCCTATGTGGAAACCTAAGTGCTGTCTACGTGCCACACCGAGAGCAATGCAGCTCCTTTACACCGCCCTACGCTGCCTAAGGCTGCTGAGCACTGAGCATTTGCATTGGTATTGGTCTTCAGTATTGGCTTTTTACCTGGATATCAACCTGCTGCTGTTTGGATATATGCCTTCAAAATGATGCTTTTTACTTGTTAATTTTTACCACTGACAGTACACTCACTGCCTTGTCAACTGGAGACAGTTCATAGGTCCTGGGAGATGGGCAGTGGCTTTGTTTGGCTATTTGCTTTCTTAGTTGAACAGGTGCATATACTAGCGCTTGAAAGCTGATGGGAGAAACCAGGATCCACCCGTCTCTTTCACAAAGATTTTGTAACTGTGACCTTCCTAACTTACTTCTGTAGTATAATTCCCTAATATAATATATATGTGGAACTAAGTCTCTGTAGACAAGGCTCCTAGGCTGTATAAAGCCCTAGGCATGGGAAATAATGTGATATGTTAGTTACCCAGAGCATCATGTACAGATGCTCTGTGTAGCATCTGTTACACAGAGCTAACCCTTTTGTGTAAAGCATTTCCTTAACATTTTACCTTTGGAAGGGGAACAGGGATAAAGTCTCCCATCTCGGAGAACCCACGTTCCCTCCCCTACTCTACCAGAGGCTTCATCAGTCTCTGATTCAGCTCTGCAAATACTGCTTAGTGGCTTCAAACTGCATATGAAGTAGGCTAGTATTATTTCCCCTGTGTAGGCTAGAGCGAGGGAGAGAAAATTAAAGCCACTTGTCTTAGCCTGAGTCAGCATCACAGAGTTACAACTGTGTCTCTCTAGAGCCTAGTGAAAGGTCTCTGCCTTATCTGACTTGATATTTTCCAGGTTGCGCAACTCTTACATCCCCTAGATGCAAATATTTTCTTGGGGATGGCCCCAGTTGCTCAAGGAAGGTGTTTGCTCAGTTTCTCATGCTTTGCAATTTTAAGCTTCTCAGCTGTGCGCAGCTGAGAGAAAGAAGGGGGAGTGGTGCTAGGTGTTTTTTTCTTTTCCCTGTTGTTGTTCCTCATCGGTTGGCTACTTTGAAACAAGCACGTTGTGGTTTTCCTTAAGAAGCAACATGTTACTGCAAATTCAGCTTCAGAGAGTTTCTAGGAGCTTTTATCTGCTCATGTTGTGGCTGTAGTGGGCCAGTTACAGAATATATGTAGCACTTAGGATACTAAGTCTGTAAGTTCAGCCTGGTAGAGTCCACGCCAGCCAAACTGAGTAATGCGATTATTCCTGGTGTGTGGCCAGCACGTCAGCCTTCCCACAGTCACTGAGTAGCAGCTTGGAAATGACAAAGCTGTCTTGCTCCTTTGTATCATCATGTAGATCAGGCAAGAACAGCAAAATTAATGTTATAGCAGGATGTTGTCACAGGAATCAGAACCTGGTGCTTTGCAAATAAATATCTGTGTGTTGTTGTTTTTGCCTTTTTTTTTCTTTTGTTCTCAGCCTCAGGTGTCATCTTGAGACCTTGCAGCCATGTGTCAGCCTTTTTAAAAAAAGGTGGATATTGTCTGTTAACTTAAGGCAGATTTCCTGTTTGATTTGAGACAACGTGTCTTGAATTTTGCCAAAATATGTGGAAGTACCTTACAAATTAAGTCTGTGGAATGGCAGCCACCGGTTGAAACAGCTTCTTTACAGTAACTGTCTGTTCCTCTGCAGTGTTTGAGGCCTAAACGATAGCAGCATTAAACCTTTATGTAAGAAATACTAACTTCTAATTATACTTTTCTTCAAGCAGAATGGGTTGCTGAAGGTAAAAGGGGTATGATTAATGACAGGCCAGTAGAATCTCATGAAGCTCTTCATCCTCCTGTAGTCTGTAAATAGGCGTACAATAAGACTACCTTATGGGTGGTGTTTAAACTTTCCCTTTAACATACTAATCACCAGTCCTAGAAAAGGAACAGCCCAGGTTCAATGACCTGAATTCTGATTTGGAGTGCAGGTCTTATCTAAGATAGAGCAGAAGGAGGGTGCACAGGTAGAAGACAAGATCGTTTTATGAGGTTACAAACTATTGTGGGTTTTTTTTTTTTGCATACAAATCCTAGATCCTAATCAGCCTGTGGCAGAGAGAATTAATTCAGAATTATCCCAAGTTTTTAAAGATGGATTTTGAGGATAAGCTAACAAACCCCAGCTTTCAGAGCTCAATGCTTTCCTTGCTATTAGAGTATCAATTTTTGTCTTTGTTAATATATTCACTGTCTACAGAACACTGCAGCATCTATTTTTGCTTGAGCAATGTTTCAAGTTAAAGCTACTTTATTTGACATGCAAGCTGGTGGTTTTCACTGGGCTTTTTCTGTTTAAAAAGGCTTTTTGCAAACATCTGATGCATTTTTTTTTAGCTGACGTTCCTGTGTGGGACCAATGAGAGCTATGTAAGAATTGTACCCACTACATGCTGTGGTACATCGTGTCTTACATTGTACCCCTTCATGCTGTGGCCTTGAAGGGTCATTGTAGGGACATATATGGTCCTGAGGGAGTTGCTTTCTGCAAATGAGAGTGGATTTAAGGGTGAAATCGACAACCAGTTTATTTCCAGTGAAGTGTGAATGAAGTCCAAGAATAAGAAACTGCTATGCATGCCTTAAGAGTCCTGAGAAATAATCCCGGTTAACTCTGCTGCTGGCTGATGAAGCAGGGAGTCCTTATCAGCACATCACAACTTTCCAAAATCTCTCCAATGTCCGCAGTCTCCCCCAGGCTCCTGCAGAAGGGGATGATCATGCTTGAGATATGATCATAGCCAGTCACACAAACATTGGTCATCAGCTTCCACATTTCACACTTTCTCTAAGTTTTCCAAGAGGCCTGACAGTAATGGCAAGACTGTAAAAATCCACAGTTCAAGCCAGGACTCTTCTTGGAGCTTTAATCTTTGAATTTATCTTTGATTTCTAAGCAAGGAGAATTTTGGGCCACCAAGGATTTTGAGAAACAAATGGATCCATAAAGTAGAGCTCCTGATTGCAGATATTTTGGTTGTTCTCTGCCAGCTTAAAAAAAAAAAAAAAAACCCTCAAAGAGCTGTTTGTTCAGAAGTAAAGGTTTCTGTGATTGTTCTTAGTGACTCTTTCCTCAGGGGGATCATTTTCATACCTTATGAGTAATTTCTGAGTCCAACTTGAAGCTCACAAGACAGATCGTGCCTTGACAAGAGTTAGCGAACAAGAACTAGGAAGTTTGCATCATCTGATTAGGCTGGATCTTATTCTTAACAGCTCCAGTTCACATCACCTATCCTTTTTTTTTTTTGCTTTCTTTTTCTCAACCACCAAAAAACCAGCAGCTTTTTGACATTTAGCATTAGTCTAAATGTCTCACCGTCTTGAATAGTCAAAAAGGCACTATAGACGCGTTTTGTGGGTATGGGTGAGGACAATCAGAAAGGGATCCTGGATGGCATTGCTCATGCCGTCTGCTGCACATAGCACCAGGCTTGTACACCCTGAACGACAGCTCCATAGCTGTTACAATTCATATCTATAGTAACAGACTAAAAAAAAGCTGAAGGTGAGAAAAGGCTAATGGGTGGCAGTGGCTAGACTGTGATGTTCTGGAGTACGGACCATCTTTTTGTCACATAGCCCCTTCAGTGGTATTTGCCATAGCTCGAGATCGTCATATGAGGTTTTTGGCTCCCTAAGGCCTGGGGCCAGCTTTCAACCCCCTTTCTAGAAAACATGGCATAAGTATCAGAACTTCAGTTCTTGTGTTTTTGCTGGTGTCTGCAAGGTCAGATACTGAATGTAGTAGTAACCAATAGAGTAAAAGCTCAGCAGTGGTTTGCTAGTTGATGGGACGGGATAGAGAGGGGTGAGAGCATGAAATGCTCCTAGCAATTAGTTGCTTGCAGAGTGATGTAGGTCATATAACAAGTCTTTGCTCACCTCCATAGTATAGTAGTAGCACGTGCGCGCGCGCACGTGTGTGTGTGTGTGTGTGTATGTGTGTGTGTGTATATAATAGTATTTATAAAATAAGTTTTACTCATAAAAATAAAATTGCATTATTAGGGGTTGAAGGCAGACGCAGGGATTTTTCCTGGTTGGCTAAAGGGAGGTTTTTTTGATTTTCTTTTCTTGTTATGTTTTAAACCAAACCCACAGAATCATAAGTCATCTTCATCTGTGCTAAAGCAGTTCTTCAGTTTGTAGTCCCTAGACTTTGTCTAACAGAGGCCTGCACCTCCACTAGGATGGTGAAAACCAGAGAGCGCTAGATAACACGTTTTGTCAGTCCTCTTTCAGAAACTCCTTAGAGATGTTCTGCACATCCTTAGGAGCCATTGCTAGCGGGAAGAGGGTCCACTATCTAATGAACAGGACGCTTATGTAGTATTTGAGATAGTTGGGGGACGTCAGTGCTTAGTTTTGACCCTGCATCTGAAACATGCTTGACTTGGGAGAATCCATCTATCTCTGTAGTATCTCTAGTTATGTTCCTCTTTTCTCCCCGCTCCCTAGCCCCCAACTATTTACAGCTCTTAAGGCAGTGACAGGCTCCCTCTGGACCTGCAGAGGGTCCTTTAGCTGTTATTTTAACACAGATAAGCAGGACAATTCTTTCTCCTGGAAGAAAGGACAACAGGGGCCCGGATAACAACTTGTTTAGTTCCTTATTTCTTCTGGTCTTTGCTGTCTTTCATACCTGCTCTGCAGGGTCTCTCTTTGCCTCCCAGCTGTGCACCTCCTGGGCTGAATAAAGGTGTATTTTTAACCTCTCCTTTCT